TGAAATGGGGAATTGAAATTACTGGCCAAAAGTTGTACACCAAACCAACTGAGACCCGTCTGTCCGCTGCATCTACGCACTGTACACCACACACACCTACACACTGTACCACACACACCTACAGCTCCTAAAGCATAATCAGGCTAAGCCGTTGTGTATTTTATTATGTGAAGCACTAAATGGTCTTAGAAAGATATCGACTCTTTGTTTGTAGATATCTACTAAACTAAAGCAAATAGGCCTAAAGAGAGTACGCCTGTTATACTGAGTGATATATATTTTACACACTGCTCTGCTTTCTGCACGGACCTCACAGCTGTTCTCACTGTAAACATCGCGTCGCGATAAAAGCAGTTACTAAAATAATATCCAGGGGATGCATGGAGAGCTGTCATTGGCTGAGATAAGTCCTGCCGTGCGTCACGCCTCCACCGTTCCCGGAAATGCATCCGTGGAGGAGCCGTGGAGGACCCATCAGTGTCTCCTCCTCGGTTATAGCCTCCAAGACGCTCAATGCTCGGTCCTCGAAGTGCATTTAGAGAAATGAGATGTCCTTCAACATGGCGCGCTGAAATTCATTTCCGGGTCACTACCGGAGGACCGAGGAGTCGAGGAGGGGAAATTTGAGTATTGAGAAACCTCTATGGTGTGCGTCTGCTGCTGTGGGGAAACTATGGAAACTACAGTTTTCTATACAACGGACTACAACATGGATGTTTAATAAGAACGACGGACTCATCTAGAGACTCTGCACCGTGCTCTGATGCTGTTGCTTTATGCTTTATGAACAACAGAGAAACATATTCTTCATGACCAAAATTGGAATTGAAATAAAAAATGAAAGTGAAACTTATGTTCGTCACCCTCTCCCTCCGGTCCACATTAATACAAATGATCCCAATACGTATGATTGTATGAAAATATCTTAAAATCAATACAAAGGTATTTATTATAAACATTAGTCCTTAACATCTATCACTGTGTATATCACCATTCAAACATCTTTTAAAAGTTGAACAAACCCCACACAGCTCAGTGAAATGTTGACTTTATTTGATCATTTCAGTAAAAACTAACGTTCATATTTCTCTTTTTGATTATAATACTGATGAACGTTCAAAACAAAGCACTTTGGCAACTTACCACATATGTTTTAAAATGCTTAATAAGCACCTTAACTTTCATGATATAACTTCTCCGTCATAATCGTTTGTGTGACGGCAAATGCTGCGGCTGCAAGGCATTGTGGGGCAGCATTTTCTCCTCTCCTTTCGGTTAGGGAGGTCCAGTGGTTCCTAAGCTAAAGGAGGTTATAAAGGAAGTTTGAAACCTCCTTTCCTATCATCTAGAGAATTCGAACGGCACTTATCATGGCTGCCACTGAGGGACTTCCGGGACATTTCACTCCGTTAGGAAGGTTCCTAAGCTAAATGGACTATTCGAACGCAACCATGGTATAAAAGTGGTCAGAAACGTGCTTTATTTTTAAAAGTCTTCTTGATACTGCTCAACAATATGAAAGATAGAAATGTAACTTACCTAGAATTTAGATTTTAATAATACAAACTCACAGCAATATCAAAGTACAATGGTCACTATCAAACATGTGATACAAGAACTGAATCAGCACTTTTCTTTCTTATTCATTTTATGTCACTATATTTCACTTGTTATTGTATAGCAAATATTACAGTTATTGAAGGGTTCATTTATTGCTGTTAAGTGCTGCAGTATTCAAAGTGGGCTGTTTATGTGATATGAAAAAGTAATATTACCAATGAAGATGTATAATTTCCAGAAGTTTCATGCATTCATTTACCTAAGGTAAAATAAGTCAACTTGTGTTAGCATCTCCTCATTTCATTTGTATTATGCCTATTTAAAAAAAAAAGAGTGACGATGCTAGAAAAAGGACTAAATAGCCTATAAAGTGCTTTATCAGCGCTGTCTGCTGAGAGTAGGAGATGCAAAGTATATAACTATATATAGTATCAGAATTTGTACACATTTATAATTAACTCTCCAACTCTAATTTCACTCAGGGTTCGAGATCTGATGCGCTCAGGGGTCATAAAGCCGTCACAGAAACCCATCTGGTTTGATGTATACGATGCGTTTCCACCCAAGAAGGAGCCCCTCTACGTGAAGCCACACACCAGAACCACCAAGAAGCAGGACCCAGTGCCGGAAATCCTGTACAGAGAGGATGAAATCAGAGCGTAAGTCACGTCCTCTCAGTAGAGACAAAAGCCACAAAGCTTCCATAACACCGACATGCTGTTTTTGTTAATGTTGGGAAAAGAAAACGTCAATCAGTGTTGTTTTTTATCAGAGAGTCACTGATGTTCTATATAAAAAATAAAAAAACACATTTACTTAATGAATAAAGGTCGCTTAAGGTCATACCTGCTTTTATGTCAGCATTAATGCCTTTGTGTGTTTTTGTCTTTCAGGAAGTTCTTTGAGCAATATGGGACGGGTTATCGATCCTTTTTGCTTCACAAGCCAGACTTTGTTTCTACGTGTCAGAGGTAGGTTTTTCCTTCTTCTTAATACCGCAATTATCCTGTAGCAGGAAAGTAACTGTCAGGTTGGAAAAGGTGTTTCAAATGTTAAGTGTGATCGAAGTCCTCTGGTTGTTTATGTTTTTATGTAATGCCAGAATCTAGTTATTTGATTAATTATTAAGTGTAAGGTGGAAGAAATGAATGAGTAACATAAAAAAGATGACTGCTTGCTACACAATAACCACATTTCATTCCATGCCTGTGTTATGAAGTGTTTGTATTTCTCTCACGCAGGTTCGTAGACAAGTACATGGAGCTGAAGAGCCGCGATGAGCTGAGTGAGGCCGCTCTGTTTGAGGAGACCGGGAAGGCATTGCTCGCAGAGGGCATCACGCTGAAAAGGAGAGGAGCTCCCCCTGTAAGACTCCTTGCTTCAAGTTTAAATACTAACTAATTGTGTTTTCACACTTGACGAAAGCAAATTTTGGCCCTGCGTTTGTGAGTATGTAGTAATAGTATGATAAGGGTCCCCCCCCACCCACCCTGCAGCCACCTAAACTCAATGAATTATAACCTCATCCTTCAAGGGAAAAGAATAAAGCCTTTGAACCATTGGAAGGACAGTAGACATCTTGTCTGATACTGGAGTTGATAAATAATGTTATGGTTAAATGTTATTGTTCAAACAATTATCCAATCAGAATGTTACACTGTGCCATGCTGAGCTGCTTTTGAGCAAGACCCCAGTCCCCTACACTGCTGTGTAGAATAGCTAACCCTAATACGAGGATGGGTACCTAATACTTCATTTGCATGAATGCAGCGCCAGATGAGCACATGCTTATAGTTCTCTCTTTGTCCTGCAGGTGTCAGCAGAGTCCAGGGAGTCCAGGCTAACAGATGTGTCAGCGGAGCAGCAGGTGGTCGGTGCTGGCAGCGAGGAGACAACAGATGCCACACATACACAATAGACCTCAGCACAAATGATGTTTGACTCTGAGAAGCTGTAGCTCTGGTTCTGCTGCCCCTCTGAAAGGGATGTTCATCTGTGGAAACGGCCGTAGAGCGGCTGTGGGTGTCAGCTTCATGTTTCCTGAACTAAGAAGTCGCTCTCTCCACAGGGCACTGCGCCACCAGCTGGGGGTCCTTATTTTAAGATCAACGGGTCTTTAAATCTTGACTGTACATTGTCGTTATGTTAGTTTATATATTTATGTTTAATCATGTAACTGTGGAAATGAAAGATACAATTAAAGTTACTTGGTTAACAAGTAGGAGTCGCTCTTTCACTTCCTTAAGCTTTGAAAGGTTAAAAGAATGCATGGATTTAATGTTTTTAATATATGTAATAAAGATCATAATCTACATTAGACATATAATACATCAAGTAAAAGTGGCTGATGTAGGTCAAAAGTTTAAAATGCTTGGAAGACTGATTTTTTTTATGTTAGCATATATTATTATTGTATTTTTAAAACAATGTCACAGTGTTGATCTGTGATCTAATACAGTCTCAATCTAGGATCTGAGGAAGCAACACTTTTCACTCGTTATTATTTCTCCCCTTTTATCAGTCATAGCACAGTTACATCTGGTTGATCATGTTTAGTCTTCATAATCTTTGTCCACACTTTTGCTACCACTTCTAAAATCCTTTTTGAAAAAATGCTAGATATTGCAAATGTCTGTGAGGCACAAAGACTGACAAGAGAGGAAGACAGTCATTTGAGGTGTATAAAAGATTGCAATAATTTGCACAGATTTTCTTTTATCTTTAACATGTTTAGACATACAGAACTTATTTTATTTAGATAAAAAAATGAGCAGATGAAATTGCTTGCTTTTTTCTTCATTCACAGTATATTCAAATGTACCAGTCAAGATAACAATAGTTATGTTTCAATAGTCTAGACCAGCGGTTTTCAAAGTGTGAGGCGCGCCTCCCCTGGGGATCGCCAGAGAGCTTCAGGGGAGGCGCAGCGTGAGACACAAAAGAACGAGAAAAAGACGAGTAAAGTGACACTTGCCCACTTGTGGCTGTCTGGAGACCGAGTTCCCCCACCTCGCCAAAAAGGCTGTAAAAGTGCTCATTCCCTTCACCTCCACCTACCTGTGTGAGTGCAGGTTTTCCGCATTGACTTTGATCAAAAGCAAGTACCGGTCAAGGCTGCAGCCAGAGGATGATCTGCGTTTATTCCTCTGTGCATCAAAGACGCAGACTCATTGTTCCCACTAAAGTAGGGGTGAGTGTAATAAGGAGGCAAAGTTAACGTTCAGTGTGTTACAGGGAGCATAATATAAGGATTTATCCCCCATGTTGAAAATGTTAAAAAAAAGATGTCTTGAGAACACGGCGTGCGGAAATATACGGGTCGTGCTGCAGCTATATGTGCCTGTCCTCTGTAAGGTGTCGGCGACTGACATGCAAGGAAGAACGGCTGTCCACAGGCTGTTCCAACTTTAACAACTGTATTAGCTTCCAGGGTAGTGAATTGATCATGCAATTGTAATTGGTTGTGTGGTATATTTTGATGCACGGACACGCATGTTCCACAACACACAAACTGAACAACACTCAATTTTCCGATCAGCGTCCTTGCGATCTTATAATAACAAGTGCACGTTACTGATGCAATATGGTTGAGACCATTCGGGCTTATTCTAGAGGGGTGCAAGGAATAGTCCAAGTAGTGGGGGAGTTTTATACAATATGTTTAAAACATAAAAATAAAAAGGTTTAAAAAAGTTATTGTTTAATGTTTTAAGGAGATGACGCTACTCAGCCAATCAAATCGGTGCAGTCAGCACGATAGATTCAAACACACACAGAGACACGACAAGAGGAGAGAAACAGTCGGAGTAATTTCAAATTGCGGAAGGTAGACAGCGAATACAGAGCATTTAATTACATTTTCTCTTACTGGACCTCTTTGAAATGCAATAGAATACCCCTGCATTATAGCAACAACAACAATAATAATAATAATAATAACAGCAATAATAATTGGGAGGGGGGGCGCGGCTGTTCTTATGTTCTCTGATGGGAGGCTCACCTACCCACACTTTGAAAACCCCTGGTCTAGACACTTGTTATGTGTCTTTGTCCTCTGCCACAGCGATATCTCATCATCATGTAGAGTAGACAGTGCCTCAAAGCGCAATCATTGTTTTGCCTTTTCGGATAAGGCGCGGCATTCCGCTCACTTTAAAAGACAGCTGTAACATTATGTGGAGGGCAGGCAGTAAAAGATCACGTGTCTTTATTTTCCAAAGGCCTTTATGTAGTGTGATAGGGGTCCCCTCCCCCTTACCTCTGGAACTAACTTTTTAGATAAGGGTCCCCCCTTATTTAACCCTTCTGAAACTGCTTAACATCCTTTGCACGACCACAGAATATGTCTTCTGTTCTGACATGGTTGTTAAAGAAATGAGAAGCGAAACAACGTATCAGCTAGAGTGAAATAACTTGTTGCCAGCTGAAACATATGGATCACTGCAGTAATTATCCAATGGAAGGCTCTTGCAGATTGGCTTAGTTACATCCAGGTAGTGACTTTTTTGGGGGAAGAGCAGTGTATAAATAAAACTTAACACAAAAAGTAAAAATGTTTGGTAGATTATTTCTTTGTTGTAACAATGCTTTTTGGCAATACATCTTATACCGTTGGAAAGCCTGTTTTCTTACCTTTCAAATGGAGCCACGTTTGTGAGGAACAAGCATTTGTGGGATGAGCAGCCGAGCTGAGTATGTGGATTGTGCCCATGATATGTGAAATGTGACAAATCTCCTGTGCCAATGCCAAATGGCTCTTCCCCTCATCTTAAACATTAACTTTTTAGATCCAGAAATATAAAAAAGGCAGAGTTTTGCCAGTTAAAAAAAGTCATCGTGGAGTTCGTCAAAAAACATTAAAAAAAAGTCATACTATATTCCAAAACACAACATACTAAAGTCTAAAAATCATACTATAGTGTGTCAAAATATAAAACATTCTATCTATCTAGTAGAGTTATTCAAGTATGACAAACCTCAAAGTAGAGTATGTAAAAGAAAAACAAATTAAAAAGTAATGAATAAAGTAATAGTACCACATTGAAAAATATGAAAAAGTCATAAAATAGTTAAGTTAAGTGATTTGTCACTTCATTCATCAGCCATCTCACCAGCTTTTACACACACTCCTTTCTCGATAGTTAGTGCTGCCATGTGCATTGTCCCTTCTTTCTAGCCTTTCTGTTATCTTGCAGTCCTGTTTCCTGGAACCTGCACCTGCCTGACATCCTGCCTCAGTTTGGACTGCCTTCCCAGAGTTGACCCTTGTCAGCGTCATGATTCCTGTACCTGCTTGTATATATGGTTGGTCTGGAGGAGATATTCAGAAAGTGACTTTGGGCAGAGAGACGAAAGAGAAAGGAGAAAGATGGTTGTTCTCCAATCGGAATGTCATTTTTAGGTTCCCAGCCCATGCATAGTGCATACAATGCCGATGTGCTGATACTTACCCCAAATCAACCCAATGGCATGGCAATGTGTTTGTAAATGTGTGTGGATGATATTCTCCCTGAGCATGTGGCACCTTGTATGGCAGCCCCTGATGAATGCATGAATGCTTACTTGTGTTGTTAGTGCTTTGAGGCGTTGCAAAGCACTATATATATGCATACCATACAGTTTGTAAGCCATGATGCATTCAGTCAACCAAGTTTAGTGCAGCTTATCACAGTCAGTTGCATTAAAGACCAATGCACACATTGGAATATAAACAGTACATGTTGTGGCTCATGCTGTCTTTAGGCCCTAAATATTCCTGTAAACTACAAGTGATGAGATTCTGATTTGGCTGAGAAAGCTGCAGGCTGAAAAGGCACTACAGAGAAAATGTCCATGATCAGTCCATTAGGGGGAAGCAGAGACACACTCAGAATCAGAAATCAGAATTGTTTATTTGTCAAACAGCTGGGAAATGTAAAGCAAATAAGGTACTCGGACCGTGGCTTATTAGCAATCGCTCTAAACACCTGAGCCTGTGATTCGGCTATAAACCCATCATCGTACAAATTCACATAATAATAGATTAAAAGGTGCAGTACAAAGTTTCTACTCTATATCTTCGAATGTAAGTTTCATTCTGAAAAGCAATGGGGGGATCTAATGAAGTAAATGTACTGCATTTTGTATTGTACAATTGTGTATTGCACTGTACAATACTTTTATTGCATTGTACTTATTGAGGTACCTACCTGAGTATTTTCAGGTGTGTGTGTGTGTGTGTGTGTGTGTGTGTGTGTGTGTGTGTGTGTGTGTGTGTGTGTGTGTGTGTGTGTGTGCGTGCGTGCGTGCGTGCGTGCGTGCGTGCGTGCGTGTGTGTGTGTGTGATTTGCTATACTGTTACTGGATGATAGGTGTCTTCTCCTGGCGTTCCTTCAAGCAGCCCTGTCCTCGCAGTGGCCCAGGTGCAGGAGAAATGAAACAAGAGGCGTGAAAGTGGTAAATTCACAGGAGTGGAACGGTCACTCATGGAGAGGGGTTTCAAGGGTAGGATTTGCTGTGTCACGCCTCCCCAAACAGGCCATGGATAACAGCAGACTGAATACATTGGTCTAAATTGGGCAGGCATCCTTCCCATCACCCGACAACCACAGCCAGTCGTGGCAAATAGCACAGGATGCATTATGCAGATGCTCCCGTCCCAGCAGTCCACAGAGAGGGAGCACACAGGCAGAGGTCTCAGGGTCCTCAGCGATATGCCCCGACAGATGTTCTGCTCATCCAAGTGTGATTTCCAATCCATCTTTACAAGTCATTTGATCTCATATTCAGACTTATTTTTTAACATTTGAAAAATCTGCCATATTTTAGATACAGTAGATGATTGTCAAGGCAGTTTTCACTTCTTGTTTATTCTTCTCTTGTACAGGTGTTTCTGACTTGAAATGAGACAGAAGACCGCATATGGCTATTGCAACAGAACATTTAAAAGTACATAACATAAAACGGTTACTAGAGAGTATAAAATGAAGGAGAAGTTAGTCCTAAAACCTGGAAATAAGTCAGCATTTTACCACTCATCTTGAAGCCCAACTTTTCTTTAAGTGATTTTGGTTAGATGTATGAAATAAGGTCTGTGGTTAACACAAGCTTCTATGTGTCATAAAACAGTAGTTGCTAACAAAAAAGCTAAATGAGACTTCTAAACATCATCATGCTTTGACCCATAACGATCATCATTTCAATTCGGTATTTGGCAAGCCATTGACCCTCTTTCAAATTCAC